AGGAATTAAATTGTGAGACAGGGATTGTTCCATTCTGGGGTGATGCACCGTACTGTTGTAGGGTGAGGAAGCCACTTGGATTGATTAAAGGTCGAAATCCGGATGGTTGCATTAAGGGCGGTTGTAGTCCGATACCACTGAGCGCAGGGCTGGGCGTATTCATCACGACGGGACGTTGAGTCATAGAGGCCAGATTTGAGTCTATCAAAGTGCTTGTCAGATCTCGAGGGACAGGCTTGGATGGAGTGTTCATTCGATTTGACTGTGTTTGAGAGACTGGTGCCAGAGACTGTTGGGCCTGTAATCGTTCCCGTTGCGTTTGTTCAGCAGCCAACTGACGCTTCTGTTCCAAGGTCAATCCTGTGGGTTTTACAGGTGTCGCCTCGGATAGAGCTTCATCGAGCACATTTGGACTTTGCGCACCGGGCGAAGGAGTTGGTGCCAGTTTTGAGACAGCATTATCAGAGTTGAGACCTAGAGAGGAGTCCACGTAGACACGCATAATGTGATCCATCTGAAAACATGAGAAACGGTGGATGAGGTACAGTTTTGGAAAGTAGTAGACCGAGAGAGGATCAGCAGAAAAGTAGATAGGAGAAGAGATGAGATTTGGAAGCATTTAATAAATAAACTGTGCGTGTAGTTTAAACGCAAATTATCACTAAGACGGCCTGGAGGCAGGGTGCTCAAAAGTCTATCACAGTCACCTATCTTTTTCCACTTCGGTATTTCCTCCGGCAGCATTTGATTAGCCACAGCAATCTCCACTTTCCCTGAAAGTTGAGTGCACTATTGCATATTCAATAGATCAAAGGGAAACAAAAGGACTATTGATGGATTGATAAAAACTTCTCCATGGAACGGGGATATTACACCTGATTTTTTTAAGACCCGAAAATTTATGCATTCGCTTACCTAGATACACAGAGGAATACCAAAGTTGATCGACAGGAGTAGCATCTACTACGCCGTTAATTTTCAACAAATCAGAACCTTTGATGCCCCTTGGAACTGGGCAAACTGTGCTGGTCTGTTGTATAACCGATGCACGAAAATGCATGACCAACGGTTGTAAAAACTGAAACTGAAAAACTTTTGTATAATTCTTACAGTTCGTTCTCTATTGTTATTTCGCAATATATGTTTAGATAGTTAAGGGTGTTACAAGTGCAAATTTTAAGCGACTGAATAGCGGCGTGCTTTACAGAAATAAAGAAATTAGTCATTTTACATTGCGATCTCAGTGCTCAGGGCAATTCAATTGTTAAACCATCAAACCCACAGTTCCATGTTCTGGCTATAGTTTCCACCGTCTGGTAGGCCAATGGGAAAGTAACAAGAACCAAACAAGTCTCCCGTATATGTGATAACAGTTCACCCAAGATCAGCTTTTCAGTGATGAAACTTATAGTTGCGTTGCATTACCTCTTCCGATAATGTAAGTTTTTGGATGGCAAATTACAGTTTGGGTGTCACAAGTAAGAACTGCGGAGTGTCTGAGTCACTACCGAATAATACAATGCCCCCAGCATATTCCAAGCCGGACAACTTCGCGTTCATGAGGCGTGTACGAGGATCAGTTTTCAAAGTCAAAACTGGAAAAAACAAGGAAGACCAACCTTGAAAAATTGCTGGCATCAAGAACAGACTTGGATTGGGTATTGTATATATCCGGAATACAACTTAGATACCAGAAAAGCAGAAAAAACTACATCCACGACCGTCTTAGGGGTGCGTAGTTTTGAAAACCTAAGCAAGTATTGACAAGTTCAAGTAGGAATACCGATGTTCACAGAACAGGGCAACGCCAATCAATGCTACAGGCTAAAAAGTAGCCAAGCTCCGCCGACTAAGAATAACAATTCTGTCCCAGCGTCACTACTTTAGCCCAATGATGAAAGCTTTTGTTTTTTCTAGTCGGGCTATAGAAAGGCTGTGTTTAACGGTCATAAGAGGATCTTCGGAGCATGAAATCGCAGCAATCTAACTTGTATACTATATGCTAGATGTAAATTAACACTAAATGTATCAATCGAATTGCACAAAGTTTAAGGAATGAAAATAATGAAAGCCGGAAGGATTGCTGACACGTTGAACATGCCCTGGTCAGAAAATGGTCCGGCGGTTTGAGTTGCAGTTTCTTCTGGGAGGGAAGGGGGGAGAGGGACTACCGACTCATACAGTGTCAGGTAGCTGCCACTCTAGCTTTATGGTAGATTTACCAATTTTCGCTCAGTTTTCTATCTGAGTGTAAGCTTGCGTGTCTCACTCATCCAAGCGTAATGGTCAATAAACCAGGCGAGAAAAATATGGAGTTGAAACTCAACATTGGATACGTTGAAAAAATATTTAACCATGCACTTTGGTGCAGCGCCTATGTTTAGTGACTTTTGACCAGCCATTGGATGGATTGGTAGACCGGGGGGTTTGGATGTCGGAAGCCGTATTAAGGTGGAAATATAATATTCAGATAGGCTGAAAGTGCGAAAAGAGTGGGATTTACGCGCAGTACTGTTTGCGACACTTAACCATATCACTGACTCCATTGCTTACAATGATCCCGATTTCCCTATCCAAGAGGCCAAACGCGATCTATTTGACCGAGTCTCTCGGTCTGGGTTTTTATACTCTCATACCAGGTGCTAGGTTGACTACCGTTAACTGCCTCGGCAAACATCGTACGCCATGGTAATATATTTGGCGACAAGCGTAACACATGCCCCCATCGAGATGATCTATGGTAGGTGACTGTGATTACCTTAAACTTTGAAATTAAACTCGGTATTGCTTGTCCGATTACACNGGCAGTGCAGTATACTCAGCCGATAGTCCTGTTTTAGTAAAGACCAAATCTCTACCCCAGATAGCGGCATTGGTCAAAGTGCAACAGCGTACATTCGACCTTTTACAGACATGCAATTCCAGCCAACCGGAGAGACAACGGAGAACGCCTACTCCAACTATGAACGAACTATTCATGTCAAACACAAACTTCTCGCACAAGAAAAGACACCGCCTTACACGGAAGCCACCCACTCCATCATTGCGATGGACTTAAATCGACCACATAGCCATCAGCTGCTGCTGGTGATGATCTATGGGAGACTGTGGCTCTTACTGGTCAACACCCACGGACACGGATTACGCTATGCTACGAGCTAACATTCTCCTTAAGCCTGGTAAACTAACACACAAAAGCCGCCGGAAACGGATGTCCGCAACACAATGTCAGCGATAATTGCAAATCTGTCTTCGAAGCCGAACTCTCTGATTGCCTTTCAGCTCGACCATCAACCAAAGGACTCACTGGACATTGGACAGTGACCAAGGAAGTGATCCAAATGTAAATCAACATAACGGCGGATTACGGCACGATCAAAGGAAAAATGATGAATCTCCTCGACCTTGGCTGTTCTGTTGGAAGCTAGCAGAGCCGTTCCCCCTGACACTGAATACGACAAAGCGCAAAAATCCCTTAGATGCCAGTTCATCAAGAGTTTGAGGAATGACCGCGAGAAGTGGTGGACAGGGAAGTGTAAATATATGGAGAAGGTTGCAGCCATCGGTAATAGTCGCAATCTTTTTCGCTTAAATGGGAGTACGGACTCAATGAAAGTAAGCGTGAGTGAAGTAATTAAGGAATCGGACTGCACACTGATTCGTATTCAGTGACGTCGTTTTGAATGATGGGCGGAACATTATAGACATAGTCCAGATGGTCCCAGTCGACACAAGACCTCCCAATATCTGCCTCAACTGGGCAAATACTACCAGTTGATATCAGTCCTCCATCTAAAATGGAGGTTTTCCGGGAAGTAAATTATCTCAAAGGGTTTAAGGCCTCCGACCCCGATGGGCTGTCGCCATCGGGCGTTTAAGGATGAAGGTTCAGCTTTGGTTTTGCAGTAAATGAAACTCCTGGATTCAGTGTGGGAGAGGGAACAGGTTCCGACTGAATGGTGCAAATCGATCATCATACCGATTTACATGAAGGGTGACAAATCCTCTTGTGAAAACCACAGGGACATTAGTTTAATCAACATTCTCTCCGAGATTCTGGCAAGTATCATATTCCGTCGGTTGTTTTTCGCATGTAGACGACTCACGCATGAGAACCGGACTGGTTTTAGACCTGGCCGAGGTTATATAGACCACATTTTCACTCGTCACATAATTTTAGAACATAGATACTCCTTTCGTTGATGCACCGTTTCTATCTTACTCAACCTGAAAGCGGCTTTCTACGCAGTCGACCGCTTTTAACTCTGGCGCTGCCTCCCTCTGAAGAATGTATCCGAGAAGTTTATCTCAACTTCGCGATCTCTGTATACTAATCAGGAGAATCGATCACACTGGTCTCTTTAGGCACTCTGGATAGGGATCTCGAGAGCATGGAAATCGGTGATTAGAGACGCTGAGCGATACGGCTGGATGTCTCAAACAGTGGCGCTCGTGCATCTAATCATTATTCTTGCNTATGAATTCTCTATCTTCTTTCTGACTCTGTCCCCATCATTCTCATCTTCATTCTGTTCTTTTGTGCAAAACAGGCAACAAAAAGCGGTGCACGAAAGTGCATGGTTAATGGTTGTAAAAACTGAAACTTTACAGACAATCAGATGATGCGACCGAGCCACAGATGTCCGAAGTGGAAAAATACCAACTGAGCCTTATGAAGGCCAGCTAATACTTCATCCGCAATGGATCCACCAGGTGAGATGTA